TATGCATTCCACCTCATAGTACACATCGCCTTCAACCACTTGACACACATGTTAATAAAGTAGTTAAACATATGTGGTCTGAAGCCTTGTCTAATTACTTAGCTGAAAATGATGATATTTCTTTGCCTCGTTGCAACTTTCACATTATTTTTAACAAAATATGGCCAAATATACTTATAAAAAGAGGATTGATTGTTAATGCGTTTTACCATTGTGGTTTGCATCCCCTAAGAAACCCAGTAAAAGATTTCGAATATAAAAAAGCAGAGGTTTTTAATAAAGCAACAATTCACCAGGGAGACCAAAATTTATCTATTTTAAGGAGTTTTATACCTTCTCCTGAAAAAAAAGGAAACCTACTCATTCAAAACGCCACATTGCTCTTATTACATCACCAGGTAATGTTAAGTTAATAAAAGAGCCTCCTGCTAAAAAGGCTGCAATAAAAAATGTGGTCAGTGTTAAACAGAAGTCAAAAAAGGATCACGATAAATCAGTTAAAACCAAATCAAAAAAGACTTTTTTTTCAGCTGATTCTGATCACCCAAGTTCTTCAACTTTTATTCTAGAAAATAACACTGATAAAGACTTTTGTTGTGTTTGTGCAGCTGTTTGGGCAGAAGCAAGTGAAGATTGGCTTAAATGTTTAAATTCCAATCAGTGGGCATGCGAATGATGTTTTGGAGTTGATACATGTGCAAATTGTGTGCAATGAACATATAAACGTCTTGTAAATTTTTAAATAGTCATAGTAGTGATATGATTTTTGTTATTTAAATTGATATGATTTTTTGTTGCTTTAACGTGCTATTTTTTGCGCTAGCGCGGTTATACGGTTTTCATTTATGCCAAAATCATTATTTGATATTTTCTTGGAAAAAGTTTAACAATTGATGTCCTTTTAGATGTCCTTTTTGATGTCCTTTTTGATGTCCTTTTACCCTAGGCCACTGCAGTCGAGGAGGCTACTTTAGTTGTGTTTATAACCCTCTCTCAACTCTATAACTCCGAAACACGAACCTTGACGATCAAGGTTCGTGTTTCGGAGTTATAGAGTTGAGAGAAAAACAAGTTGAGCGCAGTACTACCGGTGGGAATCGAACTCGCGGTGGGAATCGAACTCGCAACTTCTAGGTTTACTTCTAGATTAGGGAAATCATCCTACTGTGACCTCAAAAATGTTTTATGTCAAAGTTTTTTTCTCCTAGGTAAGTTGCCTTTACCACTAGAAAGGAATTTCGTCTATCGCCCGAGTCACGAATTTTTAAATTAGTTTAGCTGTACTGACGAATTCGCCCCATAATTGACGAATTCGCCCCTCATGACTTGATGATGAAAAAATCAAATTATACGCTAAAGTAACTTTAGAATTCATTTTGATTCAATACATTAACAAAATAGAGACCCTAATTAATAAAAAAAAGTTTTTAAACTAGAAAAGTTCACTTATTTATATGCGAATTCATTTTGTTAAAGTAAAACATGACGAACTCGCCCCGCCTTACCCTATATACATATATATATATATATATATATATATATATATATATATATATATATATATATATATATATATATATATATATATATATATATATATATATAAAGTGTCCCAAAAAAAAAAAAAAGTTTTTTTTCAGTTTTGTGTGTAGTTTTGTCTGTTAAAAGTGAAAATAAGAAGATATAAATTTTGAAGTTCCACCCCTCCCGCCCCGCCCTTCATTCAAAGTTTTTACCCCCTCTGTCGCCCACTTTTTCAAAATTATTAACTTTTAAATTGATTTTGGGCTAAATATATAAATGTATTATTGCAATTAAATATGTTTTGTATCAATATTGATCATTATTATAATTCTAAACTATGTATCATAGCTAATATTAGTAAATATAATTTGTTTCAATTCAATGATTATCAAAAATTATTAAATAATATTATTCGCAAAGCTTGAGATGAGAAAATTTTTTATGATGAATAATAATGTTACATACATTATTTAAATAATTTGAAAGTGTAAAGAAAGGAGGAAAAAGAGAAACATAAAATCAAGGCTATTGAAAAAGAGAAATCTAGAAAGGAAGCATAGAAGAAAAAAGCATTAATGTATTAGCAGCATTTGATAATGAAGACAAAACTTATAATAAAAATGAAGAAAGTACTTTTGCTAGACAGAAAAAAAAATCAAGATATTAGAAAACCCTAAGGTTTCCTTAATGGCTAATAGGTTGAATCTATCCAACAGAGAAAGATCTGGAATCATTTTAGCTGTAGCTGAAGCATTAGGTCACAATTATCTCAAAAAGCACAGTACATAGATCAGGGAATAAAATTTGACAGTAAATTTCAGATGATCTTAAGAAAACATTCATTTCACCCATGTACTTGTCCATTCACTGGGATTCAAAGCTAGTATCTGAAGTAGATAATAAAGTGGAACGTTTGGCTATTGTTGTAACAGGAAAACCAAGTGCACCTGAAGAGAAATTGTTGTGTGTATCCAGG